GGGTGATGAAGGAAAGCCAGTGGTGGTAAAATGCAATTTTCGGTCATTGAGTGAAATGTTGTTGAGGTCTTCAAATTGTTTTAAATCATTGCAACGATCAATCCAAATGGATTTTATTTGAGAAAATGCATGATGGTAAGTAGAAGATAAGAGACCGTTTGTTAATTGAAGGTTATTAACAAGGCAGTGTGTTTTGTTGAATAAGGAAAGGGGTACAATTCCTTTGATAAAGTCAATAAAGTTAAAAGAGTCAGGTTGTTCAGTTAGGGACCAGATAGGCAAGTCTAAGAGATCCATAAACTCCTGAGTGTTTGAAGTCAATGCAGTGAGATGTTGAATAAAAAATTTTTTGGTCGAGGATATAATGTTAATGACATGATGTTCAATTTTGGTACAAGTCCACACGTGGTCAAAGGTTTCATAGGTACACGAACATCTAGGGCAATTCCATGCTTGGTCATATAGATTCGGGTGTCTTATTTTGAGGATTTCAAGAGTAGGGAGCAGTTCAAACAAAAGTTTGATTTTAAATTTGCGAATGGATGATGCTTTAAAGGATGTATAAGAGTTGTTTTCATTGTCGTTGAGAATGGAGAAAGTTCGAATCCAATCCACATCCATTGTACTGTATTTTTTAAAATGAGGAAGTAGTTGAATATTATGAAAATCGATTGAGTTTAGAAGGTCTTTTAAGAATAATCTTGGCGGAATAAGTACAATATCCTCGTTAAAATAGAGATTATAGTGGTATCCTAGAAATTTGTTATTTAGAGTGATTGGGGGACTATCAGCTTTCGCTAATGCATCAACTACATTATTGTAATGATCATCTGAGTGAGCTTTGACTTTGTGAAGTTCAATGGAAATAGAGTTCTCTTTGATTAACTTTATGACAAGGAACCAAATTGGGTAAAAGGAGAGTTTAAAGATGGGATTGAAAGTAGGGGAGAAGGTGTAGAAGTAGTGCATTTTATCAAAGGATGAAATGATGTTCTGTGAGTCTGTGAAAATATCAACTGTAGCATTTATAGGCGCTACATATATAGCAGATAGTATTGCTACTAGTTCTGCTAGGGAAGATGAAGGTTGAGAAGAAATAAGTGAAGCATTAAAGGAAAGTAATGGTGCTGAAGGATCAGTTTGCAACCAGGCCACGCCCATACGGATCGAAGAAGTACCTAAATTGATAAGGGAACCATCAGTATAGAACGAGAGGTTAGTTGATTGTATGAAATGAGTTTTAAAATCGTCTAAATTATTGAGGGTTTCTATATTAAAAATTTGCTCAGGTATTATAGGTGGAGAAGACAAAGTTAAGGGGATAATAAGTGTACTATTATTAATTAAGTTGTAACTATGTAAAGCGATTTCATAAAGCATATAAGGAGACAAAGAACAGATATGACCAACATTTGGAAAAAGGGAAGCCTTGATGTCAGCACATAGGTGCAAAGGTAGCATCATAAAACAGGCTTCTTGTTTGTTTCTCATATTAGAAGGAACAAAGGAAGAATCATCATTGAGAGAGCATTTATTGCATGGTAACAGTGAAGTTTTGAAGGTATGGTCTGGTGAGGCAAAAAAATGTTGTAAGTGAACTATATCATTATCGATT